GAAAAGCACAAAATCAGTGATAACAGCATTGATTTCATTCAATGCACCATAAAGCCACGTGTCTCCTCTTTACAATGATATATCATTCATTGATATTTGGTTGGTTGGGCGAGTAATCATTCCATTTGCAAAGTTGGCCAAAATTAGCTTGGGGCCAAGTTATAAACATCGCAAAAGTCAGTGTACGGAGCCCGATGCAATATTGGAAGAAAACATAAAACCAATGCTGACTGCATCATTTTCATTCAATGTACCAAAAAGCCAAAATACTCCTCTTTGCAATGGAATATCATTCATTCACAGGGAGTCATGGCTGGTCGATAAATCATTAATTTTGCAAAGTGGGGCAAAATTCAGCTCGGACCCAAGTTTTAAACATTGCGAAAGTCAGTACAAGGGGCACATGGGGCTATTGGAAGAAGGTGTGACTGGTGTGGCATAGACAGTAAAGTGTTCATATTCATACTCTATTTAATACATCCTATAACCCCTCCAAATTGCCACCACTTCATTGCACATAAAGGTGCGCTCATCTCTCCATGTCATGCATGGTTCAGCCCTGAGTCATCTGTGGGTTAAAGCAGAGAAAAACAGCCAATGGGCAATTATTTCTCGAGGTTTTGCAATATCTTGTGAAGGAATTGTGAGCATAGATGCTCCTGAGGTAGCTCCAAGAGAAATAAGTCACAACAATTCAAGTCAGGGGAACTTCCATTGGCACTTAGCTCTTGTACTGATATTTGCAATATCTAAAACTTGGCCCAGAGCCGATGTTGACCCACTGTGCAAATGGAAGGATTTCTCACCCAACCATTACCACATGTGAATGAATGACATATTATTGCAAAGAAAAGAGACATGGCTTTATGGTAAATTGAATGAAATTGACGTAGCCATCACTAGTTTTGTGAATTTACGAGATAACTACTTGTTGCGTTTTTTTTTTATTCGCCCTGTAGTGCTGAATATAGATCAACAAGATACTAGTGTACATAGTAATGTAATAATGGAAGCAGTATATTTATTTTGAATAATCAGATGAATTAATTCTTTTCATGGGGAAATCATTATAGAGCACGCACTACATCCTTTCGGAATAAACCCTGAGACCCAAAGTAAACATTAGATTCTGAAGATCTTGTTTGAAAAAATAGTTTTAGTATTGATGAGATTTTTATGACCTATTTAACGTTAATTAGAGTTTGTTGAAACTAATTCAATAAATACACTTTTCAAAGCTTCTGATTGGAAAGGTGTTTTTATTGAGAGTGTCTAGACGAAGATTTCTGTATTTGAGATGCGAAGTCAAACAAATCACGATCACAATCAAATTATATTTGTTGACAATGACATCATGAATTCATTACAAATATCAGAGGACTTATATACAATTTAGAATTTGTAACGCCATTCTGACACTTTAGAGAATGTGTACGATAACTTCATGTTATTATATCTTGACATTTTCCATAATTCCATTAAATCAGAAAAGATTATTAGATTGCATGACCTTAATACATCGAGGGACCTGTCATGGTATTTCGCATCCTTCAGTATGTTATTGCATTATATGAATCTTCCTTATCATTTGAAAAAGTCTGAAGCTTTTTCAATGACACTGGTGATCCGCTCGATTAAACGCTGGTTACCGAAACGGTTCGTTTTGGTAACAAAATGTCGGAACGTCGAAGGTACGATTTTTCTTTTTTCCTTGATCACGCGTTGTAGGCAGAATCCCAACGACGTTTTTCTCACAAACGTGTATCAGCATCATATGTTTTAGAAAATGTACATGTTTGCGAAAAAATAGCTCAGAAGACAACAGAATCGTCGATTTAATTCCTCACTTAAGTTACATAAACGGTTTGGGTTAAACGTGCAGATCTCAACTGTTTTTCGAAAAACCGTTTATGTAACTTAAGTGACGTTCCGACATTTTGTTACCAAAACGAACCGTTTCGGTGACCAGCGTAATCGAGTGGATCACCAGTGAATGAAGGAAAATGCGTTACCGCATTCCCGTTTCATTTATAGTATTTTTCGGATAAGTAACTCTAAAGCTAGATCTAAAGTAATCACTTTTACCAACAAGGAACATCCAAGTTTTTTTTTTATATATTGTATTTCTTTATTTCAAATTATTACAATAAACACAAATACATTAGCGGCTTTGTAAGGTACATTATAAGCCACTTTTAGGATGATGATTCACAAAACTAGGTCTGCAAATGATCTGATAGTAATGATACTATTAAGCATAATAGGTCGCTAGACTGCCTGGGGTCCCTCAACACAGTTCCTGATAAACACTACACTCAACTTCAAAATATCGATGTTTTGCTCTTTCTTAAGTGTTTCATGGCCATAAAGAATAAAGTTTAGTTTTTCCTGCCTGTTCTTACATAAATTTCTGTATCCAATATTAAGATCACAGAGTTGTTGTTCAAAAGTAATAAAATAATTATGTCGAATGGGACAGGAGAAAAACACATGAATTGTGGTTTCATTTGTGTGGCCACAAGCACAATCTGGCGAAAGAATATTTACAAAGTTATGTGCATGTAAATGAGCTTTAAATATAAAATCCACTCTTATTCTGTTTAAATAGATTGATATCAGATGCCAAAGTTATGTTTGTGCTCATCAAACTCTTTGTCAATGCCCTCTTAAAGGAATCTATGTTAATGCACTCTCTTAAAGTTGGCTCAAGTGAGTTCCACTCTCCTAAACAAGAAAAAACACATGATCTATTTTGGATTGATGATCTTTTCGCGGGGATGTGATATGGTAAGGTTAATCTTAGATCTCTTATAGGTGCTCTTTTAAACTTTGCAAAAATAGAGCTAACATAATTCGGAGCATTTCCCTTATTAACTTTAAAAACTAAGGAACATCCTATGTAATTTCCTACGGATTTCGAGTGATGGCCAATTTAAAGTATGGAGTGTTTTGATGGTGGATGATCCGTGGATGACACCTGAGCAAATCACAGCAGCTTTATAATATAATTTATCCAGGCATTTTAGAGTCAAGGAGTTTGCACAGCCATATAGTATATCATAAAAGTCAAAATGTGGCAAAATGTAAGAATTAAACATGAGTTGAAGATGTTTTCCACTGAGTTTTTTTGATAAACTTTTCAAGTGGTTAAGTACATTGTCAATTTTGTTTGAGGCCTGAATAATGTGCGGTTCAAACGACAAATTTTGGTCAAAAGTAAGGCCAAGGTGCTTATGTTCATTGACTTTAGGAATTATATCACCACCAAGTAACATTGGTGGAGTTTGTAACTTTGATTTTCTTTGGTCAAAAAAAGTTAGTTCTGCACTTTTGCTGGCCTTAAATTGCAATCTCCATTTTTGTGACCACTCATAAATATTATTAAGATCAGTCTGCAGTAGAGCCATCTTATTATTTAGATCATGCTCTTTGAAGGATTGATAAATAGAAGTGTCGTCAGCAAATAAGTAACATTTTGAGCTAATATTGTCGGTAATATCATTTATATACAAAAGGAACAGTAAAGGGCCTAGAATAGACCCTTGAGGCACTCCTAAATTTATATAGTTCTCATCAGACCATTTAGATTCTTGGCCATCGATCACAACTCTTACCCTACGATTTTCCAGGTAAGATTTAATTAGGAAACAGATATTTCCCCAAAACCATAACTTGCAAGCTTACTTAATAAATAAATGTGCGGCATTGAATCAAACGCAGCTTAAAATATCTAGGAAAATACTTTTAACATTGTTACCATTATCTAAGCAATCTGTGATATAGTCAATTATGGTTAAAAGCTGGAGCTGGGTTCCATGACCAGGGATAAATCCACTTTGTAAAGGAGGTTCTGATCCTGAAGAAATTGAAATAATTGATTAAAAATAATTCTTTCCGTAACCTTTGAAATACAGCTTAGTAGTGTGACCGGTCCGTAATTTGAGGGAGTATTCTTATTGTTCTTTTTATGGATTGGTGTGATATTACCAAGTTTCCAGCATTCCGGGAACTGGTTGGTCAAAAATATTTTATTGATTAATTTAGACAAAGGAAATGCGAGAGCAGGTGCTGAAAGTTTAAGCATCCTATTACTGATCTGATCAGGCCCAGATGCTTTATTAATATTTAGAGACATCAAAGCTATATAAACCTCATCTCTATTTGTTGAAAGTATATCAAAAGACGCATTTGTACGTTTTTGGTCAAGAACAACAGGGTCAAAATGATCGCCGATGTGAAAACTTTTAATAAAATGAGCTAAAAATATATTTGCCTTCTCTTTACCAGTCATTACATTTTCGCCATTTTGGTCGACTAAGACAGGAATAGAGCTTAAACGTGTCCCTGTGAATAATCTTGAGGCAACATTCCAATATGATTTAGATCCAAACTGTTGGGTTTCCATTTTATTTATCATGCGTTTTTCATGCTCATCTTTTGCTTTAGAGATTGCATCATTGACTATGATGGAACTAATATATGTGATCATTAAAGGCAGAATCAAATCGAACAAGCATTCTTTCCAACAATGGTTCCACTTTTGATTCTCCCTTCAAAACATTATTGCTCTTTCACGATACTATACTGTACCCAACCCTATTGTCGGGGATATTATTTGGTGTGCAGCATAGTAAACAATTTCATCATATTACACATGGTCAACATATTATAGTGTCAAGGTACTTTTACAACACATGATAATTATATGTCACTGAGGTTCACATATAGTAGTGTCAGGTTGAATTCCCGGGGTTGCATTATACTATACAGTCATCGATTCATACGTAATATTGTTTGAGATAAACGACGGCACAAGGTCATCATAATTGCCCATAACTTCACACGGTCACCATGTATTATCGAGTGCATCGCGACACTCATTATACATTGTCGGGGTGCAACACGACTCAGGCTTGTCAAATACGGTTTGGGTGCATTAGGATTACGAATGTCGGATAACGTATACATTATCTGCACCCGACAATCAATTGCATCCATGACTACATGGGAGAATCCGAGTAACTACGACTACCAAGTTTACTTGATGCAGTATTTGACACAATACCCGACTCCTTCTTTGCTCGACATGGGCAGAACAGATACATCAATATCCTTGCGAACTCCTTCCTTACCCAACAGTAGACAATAATGTTTATTGAGGAGTTAACGATAAGGAGTAGGTCGACAACTGCCCCATAGATACCAGAGGCTTCGTAGATATGAGAGTACTCAGACAGGATTAGCTCGACTGCCATGCCTTCGTTAACCTTTACATCCAAGACGAGATATACGACGATGTCAAATATTTTCTGCCCAACCATGGGAATGATGCAGATGAGGAACATAAACGAAATGGAGATTAAAGTCACTGTTATGTTTCGGTCCTTGTTCTCGTTATCGGTGCTAGTATGCGAAGTAATTTTCTCTCGACGTTTTCTCGAGGCTATCAGTTCGTGTACAAGTTTCACGTTCATAATGAATACCAAAAAGACAGGACCAAATGTTCGGAATACCAGGTTCAGTATGAACTCATAGACGATTCTGTAGTACCAATTCTTACCGAATGCACTGAGGTATCTAAATACCATCCATATGTGAAGACACTTGTGCTCCGACCATATGGGTGTCATCGAGAAGAAGACTGGGATGTTGTACAACACAGAAAAACAAACGACTGAACCGACTCCTAATCTAGCGATCTTCATGGTGCAGAAGTTAATTGCTTTGAAAGGAAAACAAATGGCAATAAAACGGTCCAGCGTCAGAAATACGACTGTCCAAGCACTCGCCATTTGAGCCATTTCCACCAGTGGACGCATATAAATCGTTGCAATTGCATATTCGTGGGATGTATTTCTATCAAGGGTCTTATTAACCCAGTTTGTGTAACTGTATGCTACGAAATAAGGCTCTGTTACCATTCTGAGAATTAAGTGTACAGTATCTATCACTGCAAGGACCTTTAAAGTGAAAATACTTGTGTTTATCTTGTCTTTAGATAGCACTGCATATGATAGTATGTTTCCTATTATACCCAAACCGCAGATGACACAATAGGCATAAACCTTAATAGCAATCAAGAACTTTGTTACGTGTCCCCAGAGACGACTAAATTTGTCAAATGGCATTTTACAGTAGGCAGGCTCAAAATTGTCCTTGACTCCAACTTGTTTCATTTTATCCAATATTTTATTGAGGTCATCTTTTAGCAAAATGACGACGTCTTTTTTCAATTGTTCCCAAGGAACGATCACATCTGGACCGACCTTAAATAAGAAAAAATTGAACATGTTCACATCAATGCTCATGATTTTTGTCAACGTGTCATTCCATGATGAAATAGTTGGAAATGTATCCAGATTTTCCTCAACAGCTTTTTTGTGTTTCACGAATATATTTTCCAAGAGTTTGTAGTAGTCAACCATGAGTACGGTGACAGCCGTTTTATTTTTAGATGATTCCCAACGTACAAAACTAGTATCTATTTTATAGAATGAAGCAATCTTCAATGTTTTATTGAATTCAACCCAAGGTACATTCATTTTCAAGTGTATCGGTTCGTTTGGTACAGCTGGAGTGACTTCGGTTGCGTTAACCGTCGAATGTTTTGCTTGTGTTTCATTTATACCATGGAATATACCTCCGGTATTCTCCGCGTTCTGGGCTTGTGTTGAAACTTCCAAGCCAGGGCTTGTTGTAGCTTGCGATGAAGATGTTGCTTCTTTTGCCGTTGTGCTATCGTTTCCCTCCACGCCTGATGTGGTAGTGCCTGACGTTTCTGGTTCCTTAAGTGATGGAGTTCCAACACTTTCAATTATCCCCGCACTCTGAGGTTGTGTCGAAACTTCCGAGTCAGGGCTTGTTGTAGCTTGTAATGAAGAAGCTACTTCTTTTTTAATAGAACTATCGTTTACTTTTCCACCCGATTCGGTACTGTTTGGTTCCTTCTGTGGCGCAGTTGAGCTGATCGGATTTTCAGTACTTCGTGTATTGTTAGGAAAGACAATTGCTTCTGAATCACCCATCACAGCATCTTTATAGAAAGCGACGCTGACGCTCAGAATGAATATCAAGATTTTTAAGATCATTTTCTAAGATTATATGATTAGCCACTACAACATCCAATCTTTCCAACAATGCTACCAAGTATAACGGAAGAAAGATTTAGAATAAATATTTGCGAGTGAAAATGTGTATAGAAAGTATATAATTGATGTGTTTATTCAGCATCTGAACAATGAAGAGAAATAATAAACTAACATAGATCAACAAAGCATGCCAGGGGTTTTGTGCAAAATTAAAATGATGGATGATAGGATAAATAGAGATTTTAGCATATAAAAAATTATGGCATTGAATCCCTAGATTTGAATGCTTGACACTTAGAGTGAATTGATGAAGCAATCAAGATGATCAATGTAAAACGAATACCATCCATTCGTACGACTCAAAAAGCAATAATTAAGATTTATAGAATTCCTAACCTAAACCTATTGAAACTATGATTTACAGGTTAGCAATGCTGTTACCACGAGGGAGAATCAGCCACGGGGTGGGATCGCAAAATTTGTCCGTTATTGGGAATCCCATAATTTATTTGAAAAGGAAAAAAGGGAAACGTACATTTTAGAATTACGATACATTTGTGCCGTTTTCAATAGCTTTTACTTCTTGCATTAGACGTCAAACATAAACAAAGGCTTCTCGCAAGTGATATACTAATTACATGGAATAGGTTATCTTCCTTTAACGAAACATGTGAGGTGTGATATTTTCTTAACATTTTTCGAAAAATAGCGTGATTTCCCATATCGGACGAATTTTGCGATACCGTCCCATAATCAGTTAAATTCACTATTTTCCATTGTGGATCTTTTTCTGAATAGATTGAAGGTACAGCTTTTCATCCAACGTACAACATTTGTGTCAAATAACTAGAGATGACAGCTTCTGTCAACTCACATTACCTCAACCTAATATACGAACTCCAAATACCCTAAATAAATAAATAAAACCTTGAATATTCGCAGTCACCTTTCAAAGGATGAACATACATATCAACAATTGATGCGCTTTGATGCATAAATCAAAAGTCTGTGTCGTTTCATTAATATTCTTTCAAGGATATCAATTTACGAAGAAGGTATTGATAATGTATCAGTCATGAATAAAAACATTCATCACGACGAGATGGTGTTATTAATGTACTCACCTACCACAATACGTCTTTCATATGGCAGTGGAAATGGTTACTGCTCTTTATTTCTCTAATTTGCTCTTTATACCAAAGTTGCACTAACAGAGTGTAGGCTGTTGGAATCTATTCTTCCAAATGCTCAAAAGGCAAGCCAATGTTTCCCGTACAATCTTAATTCTTATTGTCTGAAGAAAGAATTGAATTGCGCAATGTCCCCTCATAGTGAAATACCAAGGCAGTAAAAGATTTAAGCACAGGACCCCATGCAGTGGATGGTTTTATCCACTAATGTGTTGTTCCCAGATGTTTGCACGAGTGGGGCAGAACTGGAAGCACGAAAAGCATTTTGTACACTTGGATTTAATTGAAAGTACGATGTTTTGAACTGTTAAAGGTTTTATAAATATTACAGATCTGAATGGATTACATTTATTTCCAGTGATTTTAAATATGCAATTTTATATTATGTTTTTACCATAACAATATTATGTTTTTACCATAGTACAGAGTATTTCAAGATAATCAAATAAACACCATCATTTATCAAAATGTGACACAATAGAGGACATCAAAATGGATCAATAAAAACATTAAAATAAACGTTCACAAAAAATCAATGTTATAATTTTATATATCCTTCATTTTATTGGCCTATCTAAAACATACAATCCAATCAATAAATACATCTTTCTATACCACCAGTGTAAATTCAATCCTAAAATATGTTTTTTGCATAACTTTATCGGCTTGTATGCCATTAACGTAAGTTTATACCTCACAAGCAGTATAACAACATGGCACATTGCAGTAAATCTCAATTACATTAATTCACAAGTAACAACAGATAATGTGGAGTTGAGTTTCAAGCACCCCCTATCGTAATGGTCCAACTATGCTTAATGTATAATACTGACTGGTTATAGTTAATTAGATCATTGTTATTACAGGTATTATGACTACTGTACTGTTCTATTATATAAAACAGCAGAGATTTGGCAAACTGCAACATTGGCAATATTTCTTACTATGGACTAGCCAAAGATAAGTTTATAAAATGAAAGGGGAAAATGTTGAAGGAAATCAAAGTTTCACAATCCATTCAGGTCAATAATGTCTCCTGAATCAGAAATGTGCAATCAGTCAAGTTAACAGTCAAGCGTGCTAATGACGGGGACATTCATGATTGATAGCATGTCATGCAAAATATCCAGTTGACAATGAATATAGATCAGAGATGTTGTTGATTTCATTTCCACAATCTAACTGTCATACAATGACAAATATGTTCTTTTCACACGTCATGACATCAATAATGCGTCAACACCCACAGATAAAACCAATCATCAAAAAGTATATTATCAATTAACTTTAAAGTAAAAACCTCAGTCAAACTTAAGAATCAACCTATATTTTTCAATGTGTCTCATAAACATTGGAATGTCCTAAATGAATTCAATCAAGTTGAATTATGAAATTACATACACTAGTGACAAAATCTTGCTTTAATTCTCTGTAACCCATCACTGTATCTATAATAACCATACGTAGGCAATACTGGGACGGAAAGGGGCTTGTTTCAGGACTAGGATGACATAAGCAAATCGATTACTAGTAGTTAGTTTCCATGATTCAACACAATAGATTTCCATGTAAAACCTGCGAAGAGTCCACGATTCTAATTATCATCAGAGTTAATATTTTAACCTAATTCAAATAAAAGCGAGAATGAGTATCCTGATACTATAAGTGAAACAAGTAGGACAGATAAATAAGTGGACATATCAGAAACACACACACAACTCGCATATTACTTTTCTTCAGTCAATGAATACAACACCCGTTAATATATACACAGTTGCCATCTATTTTATGCATAATGCATTAATAATACACGCAGCATGTGCAGGTAGGAAACAGTTCCAATGAACGGTGTCGAAAGTTGAAAAATCCTCATATAAGTGATATTGATAATTCTGTAACACAATCCATGTCTCTGTGACATTATATACATGATTATGTGACACAATCCATGCCTCTGTGACACTATATACATGATTCTGTGACACAATCCATGCCTCTGTGACACTATATACATGATTCTGTGACACAATCCATGCCTCTGTGACACTATATACATGATTATGTAACACAGAATATTCTGTCTCCGAGTGATATGCCTGTACATGATTATGTAACACAAATATTCTGTCTGCTGAGACAGTGATATGCCTGTTTCACAAAAAAGAAACTCAGTGGAAAATAAATACTTCAGATTCAAGTGAAGAGACGCTTAACATGTCTGTGTATGTGTTTCTGGTACGTCTGTGCTATTTTCTAGTGAAATTTCCTAATCGATCCGAGTTTACTTGCTCATCTTCTCAAGTTGTTCTGCGATTGCCTGCAGGAAGTCCATTGTGTACAGATAATGCTCAGGTGTCACACTGAAAGGAAAAAATCTAACGTTTTCAAACATAGAAAAATCAAACTCATTATATTGCTTTTCGACAGATTTTAAGATCTATGGTTTTCAAAGAATAGATGCGAAAACAAATAAATCAATCGTGGAAAAGAATTTACTTTTGTAATTAATTATATTTTTCCATTACATATCCTCTGGTTAGAACTAGGACCCATCATCAGCAGATACATCTTTCAACTCGTATGGCAGATGTGAATCAGTGTTTTAAATTGATGGATCCGAAAGAAAAGTTTAATATCACCAATTGTTCTTCGTCAAGGTCATCGAATGCATGTAATGATGATTAGGGCTGTAGGGATATTAGGACAGATTTGAATGGAACTCAAAAATTTAATTCTACATTCCTATAAATAAACATATCACTTACTTTTTAAGACCATGTATACATCCAGCCAGATCTTTGGTCATGAGGCCATTTTCAACAGTTTGGACACAAGCGTTCTCTAGAGTTTGACAGAATCTGAAAATACCATTTCATTTATGATAAATATTAACACACAAGACCGAGTGCAGTAAGTTTATAGTTGTCTTGTAGTTTGAAATTCCATCGGAAGAAATATATAATTTTGGGGTAAAAGAAATGGGGGTTTAAGTCTTACAGATAGAGTTCAATAACAAATCAATGTTACAGTTTCACAGTGTGCATTTATCAGAATTGTTTGATAGTGCTATGTTGATATGCGTCAGCACTGAACTTACTTAGCTAAATCAGGATTGTCATCAAGTTTGGCTCTGTGTTCAAGACCCTTGGTCCATGCGAATATACTAGCAATGGGATTGGTACTTGTTGGGTTACCCTACAATCATATGCCAACTCTTGTTACATTTCATTTTGTAGTTTCCTGGTTAAAAATCATTATTTTAGTATATTGATCGATTTCATGAGAAGTGACACCTTTAAATGCATTGCTTGTAGAATGAGAATTGAAAGTTTTTATACACTATCAGCTTTTCATATTCTAATAGAATGATACTGAAGTGAACTTAATAAAATCTACACAGTGATTAAACAGAATTTAGCCAGTTATATCAATTTCTTGCTTAGATTCAAGTTGACATGGATAAAGTTCACTAATCACTGAGCTCACTAAACTTTTCCTTAATTTTATTTTATGTCATGCAATGCAACCTGTCATTGTAACCATAAGGGACATTCATATAAAAATGAACTAGGTAAAACTACTCTACAGTAAATTCTATTAATTCTAATATGGACCTTTTGGTGTTCCCTGTAATGTCTGGTGACTGTACCATGGGCAGCCTCCGCTTCTACAGTCTTTCCATCAGGCACAACTAGCACACTGGTCATAAGACCCAGAGATCCATAACCTACAATACAAATTGCATGTACATTTAACTGTGACTTAACAAACTGTACTGAAACCATGACAATCGAGATATGTCCGGTTGCCCGGATTCAGATTTTCAAAATGGCAAACTTTCTGTCATCTTCACATTCTGGAATATTCTCTTGATGAATATAACGATTATGAAAATGTACATGGTTATGAGTGAAATGAAGGCCAACATGCTGATATGCAAATTTACTGGCATATATAACAGGGCATTCACATGCTAAATGTGAACCAACTGCAATTTATTAAGACAACGCCAAATGCTGAATGCTGTCACAAGAAAGTCGGAGACCATAACAATATGTCACCCCTTTTGGTTACATAATGATTTACATATAGATAAAAATTCTTGCATTAATTGTACAAACATTTTAATTCTTGTTAAATGTAAGATCCCTAGTGTAAGAAAAGGAGATATGGCTAAACATACCTTGAGCGACAATATCAGACTGGACGTCACCATCATAGTTCTTGCAGGCCCATACAAAGCCCCCAGATGACTTGAGACACTGAGCAACCATATCATCAATGAGACGATGTTCATACCAGATCTTTGCATCATCAAACTGTTTCACATAATCACTGTGAGGAAATTGGAAAATCATAGTATTAGATATGTATAAATAATACATTTTTGACAGTCATTACTTCGCAATAATACTTGGCGAAATAAAATGAGAATATATACTCCCAATTTGATTATTTAATCATCCTGTAGCTTCGGGAATATTAATTGATTGAAAACAACTTGCAATAAGACCCAAATGTTTTGTCATTAGTCATGTCCAAATCACCTTATGAAAGAGAGAAATTTTAATATAAAGCATTAAAATTGCATATTTACTGACATGCTCCTTCGCAATAATATACAAGGCATTAACATGACAAAATGTCACCACCTAGTTGCTCACAATATTATGAGTTCAAACTTAAGTCAGATTTGAATTTCTGAGAACTTGTAAAGTCAAATTTGAACTTCTGAAAAGATGTAGTTGATTTTGAAAAAAAATTTGGTCAATTTGAAGCTTTGAAAACAGACCTTTTTGACCTTGAGAAGGTCATTAAAGGTCAAATCTAAAGTCATATTTGAATTTCTGAGAACATGTAGATGGTTTTGAAAAAAATTTAGTCAATTTGAAGCAAGATGAAAAAATACCTTTTTGACCTTTTTTGACATTGAGAAGGTCATTGAAGGTCAAATGTCAAATCTAAAGTCAGATTTGAATTTCTGAGAACATGTAGATGATTTTGAAAAAAAAATTAGTCAATTTGAAGCAAGTTGAAAAAAGACCTTTTTGACCTTTTTTGACTTTGAGAAGGTCATTGAAGGTCAAATGTCAAATCTTAAGTCAAATCTAAAGTCAGATTTGAATTTCTGAGATTACGTAGATGATTTTGAAAATTTTTTTTAGTCGATTTGAAGCAAGTTGAAAACAGACCTTTTTTACCTTTTTTGACCTTGAGAAGGTCATTGAAGGTCAAATGTCAAATCTTAAGTCAAATCTAAAGTCAGATTTGAATTTCTGAGATTACGTAGATGATTTTGAAAATTTTTTTTAGTCGATTTGAAGCAAGTTGAAAACAGACCTTTTTTACCTTTTTTGACCTTGAGAAGGTCATTGAAGGTCAAATGTCAAATCTTAAGTCAAATCTTAAGTCAGATTTGAATTTCTGAGAACACGTAGATGATTTTGAAAAAAAAATTTAGTCAATTTGAAGCAAGTTGAAAACAGACCTTTTTGACCTTGAGAAGGTCATTGAAGGTCAAATGTCAAATCTAAAGTCAGATTTGAATTTCTGAGAACATGTAGATGATTTTGAAAAAAAAATTTAGTCAATTTGAAGCAAGTTGAAAAAAGACCTTTTTGACCTTTTTTTACTTTGAGAAGGTCATTGAAGGTCAAATGTCAAATCTTAAGTCAAATCTTAAGTCAGATTAAAATTTCTGAGAACACGTAGATGATTTTGAAAAAAAAATTTAGTCAATTTGAAGCAAGTTGAAAACAGACCTTTTTGACCTTTTTTGACCTTGAGAAGGTCATTGAAGGTCAAATGTCAAATCTAAAGTCAGATTTGAATTTCTGAGAACATGTAGATGATTTTGAAAAAAAAATTTAGTCAATTTGAAGCAAGTTTAAAAAAGACCTTTTTGACCTTTTTTGACCTTGAGAAGGTCATTGAAGGTCAAATGTCAAATCTTAAGTCAAATCTAAAGTCAGATTTGAATTTCTGAGAACACGTAGATGATTTTGAAATTTTTTTTTAGTCAATTTGAAGCAAGTTGAAAACAGACCTTTTTGACCTTTTTTGACCTTGAGAAGGTCATTGAAGGTCAACTGTCAAATCTTAAGTCAAGTCTTAAGTCAGATTTGAATTTCTGAGAACACGTAGATGATTTTGAAAAAAAAATTTAGTCAATTTGAAGCAAGTTGAAAACAGACCTTTTTGACCTTTTTTGACCTTGAGAAGGTCATTGAAGGTCAAATGTCAAATCTAAAGTCAGATTTGAAGGTCAAATGTCAAATCTAAAGTCAGATTTGAATTTCTGAGAACATGTAGATGATTTTGAAAAAAAATTTAGTCAATGTGAAGCAAGTTGAAAAAAGACCTTTTTGACCTTGAGAAGGTCATTGAAGGTCAAATGTCAAATCTAAAGTCAGATTTGAACTTCTGAGAACATGTAGATGATTTAGAAAAAAATTGAAGTCAGTCTAAACAGTATTTGTTAAGTTATAGGAAGTTGTAAGAAATTGTTACAGACGCCGGACGCCAACCGCCGGATGCCAACCACCAACCGCCGGACGCCAACCACCAACCGCCGTCGCAAAAAAAACGGAGACCATAACAATATGTCACCACTTTTGGTGGTGACATAAAAAAAAACGGAGACCATAACAATATGTCACCACTTTTGGTGGTGACATAATAATTGAACTAACAGAATTAAGAGTCATTTTCAACTCACGCTTGGAAGATTTCTTCAAAGATGTCCTTGAAGCGACCATCATATCTCTTGAGGATCGTGTTCTTGGTGCTCATGTAAAGTGGCCACTTCTTCATAAGAGCATATTGGAAACAGGAATGGGCAAACCCACGGATTGACTGGAAAAGAAATAAGATGGTAACATAGTCATATCCAGGTATTCAAAATTGAACGGAACAACAGTAAACAATATATATTTAGCATTTGAATTCTTAAAATTAAGAAATCAAATGAGTCAAATTTTAACATTTTAGATACATAAAATTAATGTGAATAAATTATTTGAAATAACCAAGTACATACCTCGTCAGTATTGTACATTCCCATGACAACACCCCCATCCTTGAAGTCGAAGATCTTCATCTTCTCCTCACCCTTAGCATCTCTGAATATGAGCTCGGCTGTACCTGCTCCTGGGACAACAAAGTCTGTGGCTTTGTACTGAAATAGAGTTAATTAGATAATAATTATGGTTAATTGAGACTTGTCAAAACATGAATTCACTGATATTATTTGAAGGCAGTTTTATTTGATTAACTATTTGAACAACAACAAATGTGGAATTGCACTGGACATGAATGTTAACTAAAGAATTTTTTATTTGTCAAAGAACAAATTTGGCACACAATGAACAATAGTTTCATTCCCAGATTTGAGTGGTACTTTAAAATTAATTAAAAGTGGTAGATGGCAATTAAACTCATATTGTGCACTAATATCACCATAATAATAAAAAGTTATGTTGATGTACCTGATCACCATGAGCATGACGACCAATGACAATAGCTTCAGTCCAGCCTGGTACAAGACGTGGGATGTTGTTACAGAGGATGGGCTCTCTGAAGACAGTACCTCCAAGGATGTTCCTGATGGTTCCATTGGGACTCAGCCACATCTTTTTCAAGTTGAACTCTAAATGATAGAACATTATTGATAAAATGGTCATCAGTTTTTTAGTTCTTTTTCCATTTATCTGCCGAATTCCTCCTGTTTTTAAGTATTACCCATTGAAACAACAAAGGGCCAGATGCATACAATTGTGAATCTAAAAACAACCTTGCTCAATCTGAAAATGACTTTGAACAAGTTGAAAATTTTGAAACCATAAAATTAAACTACATGTATTTTGATATTTTTAGTAAGAATATAGATGAAAGAAAAATTTAGCACCGTCTTGAGAAATAGTTATTGGGATAATACTGTGTTCATTTCATAAACATTAGAATAGTCATATCATTTGTATTAATAATAACTAGAAACAGGATATCTCACTCTCAAAAAGATTAATGAGAACAGCATGTCTCCTAAATACCTATTAATACTATGTACTTACCTTCCACTCTTTGCTCATCAGGAGTGATAGTTGCACACTTGATACCAACACTGTGCTTCTTGATGGCATGGGCAGAGTCAATAGTCACTTGGTCATCAGTCTGGTCCCTGTAGGGGAGGCCAAGATCATAGTAGAGGCATTCAACATCAACATATGGAAAGATGAGCTGAAGTAAACAAAAACATAAAAAGTTCACAATAATTAGGTGTAAGATCTATTGATAGCTTCCATACAAAATTAGCCAACATACAATTGAAATAAGTTAAATGGGTTTATTACATGTTTTTATGGAGCAAGATTTTCATTGGAATTCATACAATACAAATAAAAATAAATGACACACCAAATTGAAATTTTAATTTCAGAACAGTTGCAAAATCCCTCAAAACAACAGGGAATTTTCAGAAAAACAACTTGAGAAAATTGCTTCTTGCCTGATGCTAATGGGATCACTTTGTGAAGATTAAAATGATATTGGTTAAGTTGAGGAATTGCATTAGAATAAGTATTAAAGTCAGCTTAAACTGCGTGGGAGTGATCTTATTTTACTTAAGCCATATACATATACACCTGTACCTTAATAAATGTTAGATGTTAATGGTATATATTAACAGTACCTTTTCTTTGATGTTCTGCCAGATGATTCTAGTCATCTCATCCCCATCCAACTCCACAACAGGCTTGGCCACCTTTACTCTGTTCTCTGTTGAGACTGAAAACAAAAAATTTCACAATTTCATTAAGTTGCACATTGGTACGTGGTGGCATATGCTACACACTTGTCAGTTTTAGGCAACTCAATAACTTTCTACTATTTTTTCACAATTATTGTTGTTATGATATATATGTTGTAAATTATAAATACATACATGAACTAAAAAAAATGTTAAGAAAAATTGCAGTGACTGAGTGTAATCTCCTGGTACATTAATGTTAATAACATGATATTTAAAGATACCTATTTTAATAATTCTTCAATTCTTGTTCATGTTCCTAAAGGAAGCTCTAGATTAGATTTTTTTAAAAGATTGGAGATGTTTTTATTGGTTGCTGTGTTTCTAGGACTTGTAATTTCACAATGAATACACAGATGTTTAATTATATATTTTAATTTTGAAATTAATAATGTTTAATAGATGGATCTGTTTTATTCGAATGTGATCAAAATCAAAAGAAAACTACATTTGGAAAGCGGAGATCAACATTTATGGCTCCAAACATCTTGTGGTGTACCTTTTTTGTATAAATAGACTACTTGAACGCTGACTCACTTTTATATGTCATTTCATTTGACAGCAAGTAGAATTCAATTCATGAAATAGGAGCATTTGATTAGTTTTCTTAAAATAACTAAATGTAAAGTAGTATATCCATATCACTGTACTGTGTATAATTTTAGAAGTCTTGCGTAGATTATCTTGAACTTAAAATAACTTGTTGATGATCTTAACCTTATCATGCTAAAATATATCAAGTGCAATACAGAATGAGTGTACATACGTTGTGCTTGTAAATTAGATTGATTAAAAACAAATTGATACATTTAAGTATCTGGTACTGAGAAGTTAACTTAAAAATGATCTTATCACTGACACATCAGAATAAATTAAAACAAAGGGCTCGTAGTCAGCGTTTGTTCACTTTTCAAAACTTCCAGAGGGGGGTCTACATTCACATTTGATAATTTTGGTTCAAAATCACTTGAAAAGTGCTCAGAATGTTAAAAAAGTCAATGATTTTGATTGACTATGACTACGAGTATGAAAGAAGTGAATAGTCAGGTAAGGATTTCCATATAAATTTGCCTACGTGCAGAATAATGTTGGTTGATATTAAATCCTACTTCTACAGATATATTTGCTATAAATAGTTTACGCCTCTTCAATTTGAAAGTGCAACTCTTATATACCTTGTCAATGAGATAAGAAAATATGCAGTGTCTGATAAAAACTACAAATATGTGTGAATATTTTAAAACGATAACAAATGTTCATTTTACACATGTATATAACATCTGAATTGTATTGTAAATATCATGTCAACAACACTTACACTACAGTAGATATCATATAAAATAACTCAGTTTATTATGCCAAATTTTGTATTTTGGGAATTTTACTGCCAAAAATCCCCAAATATGGAGTGTAATTTCAGGCTATATGATGTACCCCTTTCCTCCAAGCAAGGGTAACACTGTAAATTGCTTTCAATGATGTGCCTCTATAATTGTGAGTGACAGGAGATACATATCCATTACATTGAAGTGATGCTACTTTGTATATAGTTGACAGAAATAAGAATTTTAAGACACACAATATTGAATTGTCTCAATGAATAATCGAGTCAATTTTGAGGTGAGAAGAGAAAGCCCCGCTCTTAGGAATATATGGATCATTTCCAAGAGGCTTGTTATTATTCAGTACCTGGACTATTACTATGTAAGTGACTTGATAAACTTGCTATCAAACAAATCGCACGATCTACATAGATTTTCGTCTCTTGCCTAACACCATCGTTTGTTCGAATTTTCGCTGGCTAGTTTCCGAATACAACAATTCTATGTGATATTTAATTGATGAAGGCAGGTTCAACATGACGAAAATGAACATAATATTATTTGAAGCGTATTTCGAAAATTCTGAAGCCGCCATTGATGACATCATTTGCCAGTCGATTTTTGAACAATCAGAGATGTATGTCATCTCAATACATGTTTACATTATAAGCATATGCCTTCTTTGAACTTTGGGATTATTCACCCCTGATCACAAGGGGATCTAGGGGGTGGCGCCGGGGGTGCGCGTCCCCTCTAAAAAATTTCCAAAAAAATAATATCTTCAAAAAAATAAAAATCTGTTTTAGTGTTAGACTTTCTCATAAAATTTATCTAGAAAATAAATTAAAAATTTTTCAAATCAAAAGAAGTCTTTCATGACTTCATCCATAGTTTAATAGTTGGAAAGTGCTCAGATTACAGTGTATCCCTAATTGCACTCTATTTTCAAAATTTTTCAGATACACCCCTAGAGCGTAAGATCGACATTCATTCAAGCATTTTTGGGATATATTAGCACCCCCTCTAGCGCAAAATCCTGGATCCGCGTATGCTTAAGGCGGACTTCGTAAAATGGAAATATAAGCCAATGTCGAAATAGCTCCATGACAAAGTAACCCCATACGTCAAAGTTCAACGCATATCCCCTAGTACTTCTGTGACCTCTTGGACTTGATCCTTGCAATAGCTAGCACGCAAAGGGGTGTAATGTCGATGTGTGGGGTAATGTCGACATAAGAGACTAACATAAGGAGTAATTTCGGCACTTATTAGAAGTAGAATTTCCGTTTTCCGTCAGGTTTGATTTCTGGAAAAATAGAATCTCACAAGATCTCGATCCATGCGCGAAAAAAAAACATAGCTTCCTTAGATCGGAAATTAGATCAAATAAACAGCAAGGTATCGAAGTTACCCCACATGTCGAAGTAACCCAAAGTGATGTCAACGTACACCCCTTCATTTCGAATCTGTTCTGGTGCCAATGGTAGATCAAGTACATGTATAGAAGGAATGAAAATTATTAAACATATGCTGTTTGTTTCAGACACAGAGGGGGAGAAACACCAGGGTTCAAAGATGACATACGCTTATAATATAAATCTGTATTGAGATGACACGGTCGCTGATTGGTCAAAAGTCGACAAACAAATGACGTCATCAATGGCGGTTTCAAAATTTTCGAAATACGCTTCGAATAATATTATGTTTTACTTCCTGCGAAAGCTATTTGGATTTTGATATAATAGCTTTCCCACGGAGCATTTGGACAGCTCAATGATCGTGACCTTTGAAATCGAATTAAGTCGATCCGCGGCTTACTTTTGGTCTCTAACTGTGTCTTACATCAGTATCATCAATCCGTGTAAGTATTGGAGCGCTGGCGTACTTCTTTTTCGATCAAGACTTGTAATTGTTAGTCGAGTGAATCGTTTTACTGCCAAATTCCAATATGGCGGTTTCTGCTCGGACATTTTCGTAAATCTCCGGAGGTTGTCCGAACCTAACTAATTCTCAAAATTCATTTCGTTTGTTGCGTATCTCGCACCTAGCAAACCGCCATATTGGAAATAGGTCTTTAAAACTTTAACTCGATGAACAATTTACAAGTCTTGATCGAAAAAGAAGTACTCCAGCGCTCCAATACTTACACGGATTGATGATACTGATGTAGGACACAGTTAGAGACCAAAAGTAAGCCGCGGATCGACTTAATTCGATTTCAAAGGTCACTATTGATCAGCTGTTCACTTCTCCGTTTGAGAGCCATAAGTTTCAAAATCTAACATGGCTCTCGAAGTGAGTAAATTATGTTCATTTCTGGCGTGTTAACCAATATCATAGCTTCTCATTTCACATCAAGATAAAGAAAGGTGTACGGAATATGCCTATATCAATTATAACATCCCATCGAAGTGTAGTATTTGATAGCTAGCCGATGAAAATTCGAACGAACGAAGGTGGTAAGCAAGAGAGGTAATTATGTCTGTCATCTTGAAACTCTGGGACTTTCCCTCCTCTTTTTCAGACATAGACCCTGCAACTGGGTTGCAACTAGACCCATTACATCCCTCGATAAACTTTATGCAAATGGTAATACACATATGAAAAACATCTTCCTATGTGGTGACTTCAACTTACCAGACATCGATTGGGAGAATGGAACTATAAGGCCTAATTCTCAATATTCTAATGATCTTAATGAGAAGATGATTACAATAACTGATGATCATGGCCTAACCCAACTAGTCAAGGAACCAACTAGACAAAATAACATCCTTGACTTAGTATTCACTACATGCCCAAACCTCGCAGAAAGAATCTCGGTGGTTCCGGGCATGAGTGATCACGAGGCAGTCCTATGTGATATAAACCTAAAAATGAAAATTAAGAAAAAGAAGCCTCGTAAGGTCCACATATACAAGCGGGCAGAATGGACTGGACTTAAAGAGACTCTACGATCTAAGTTCAGCGAATTCAAAGAGAACTGTGAAAGTAGATCAGTTGAAGACAACTGGTCCTCCTTCAAATCTACATTAATATCGTCAATCAATGAGCATATTCCAAGTAAAACTCTAAGTGGGAAATTCAAAGTACCCTGGATTACCACCAGGATACTGAGAATGATCCGACAGAAACAAAGACGATATAATGTTGCCAAACGTTCAAATGAACCTCATCATTGGCATAAATACAAATCACTACGGAAATTAATCCATAGTGAAATTCGTAAAGAACATCAGCGCTACATCAACGATCTGCTTGACATTGATGAAAGCGAAATCATAAATGAGAATGTTCAGCACAAAGGCATTACCAAACGCTTCTGGAGCTACATAAAGTCTAAACGCAAAGATGCATCAGGTATCAGCGTGCTGCGTAACAAAGATGGCGACGAAATAACAGACGCCGCCCAGAAAGCAAACATCCTCAATGACCAATACAATTCTGTATTCACAGATGAGGATGCCACTCTACCGACAATGGTACCTAGTCAAATTCCTGAAATGCCAAATATCAAAATTTCGACAAAAGGAATTCACAAATTGCTAACTGGCCTAAATCCATCAAAAGCCACTGGACCCGATCTTATTCCGACTAGGGTCCTGAAGGAATGCAGTGACAGCATATCACCATTCCTTCAAATAATTTTTCAACAGTCTATCGATGAAGGCTTAGTGCCTTTGGACTGGAAACATGCCAATGTTACTGCTATCTACAAAAAGGGACGAAGAGATGAGGCTGTGAATTACAGACCTGTATCTCTGACGTCAGTTCCATGTAAAATAATGGAACATATTATATTTCATCATGTTATGGCCCACTTTGACCTCTATGAAATTCTAGTAAAATTCCAACATGGATTCAGGTCAAAGCACTCATGTGAAACACAACTTGTCAATACAATAGAGAATATAGCTCGGGCCCTCGACAACAATAAACAAACAGACATGTTGGTATTAGACTTTTCCAAAGCGTTTGACACGGTGGCTCACGAACGCCTCTTGCTCAAACTCGACTATTATGGAATTCGCAATAATAACTTGAACTGGTTCAGATCCTGGCTTGTGGGAAGATCACAACAGGTAGTTCTCGATGGTGAATCAAGTTCAAAAACTCCAGTAAAATCAGGAGTTCCTCAAGGAACAGTTCTTGGACCACTCTGTTTCCTTGTTTATATCAATGATATGGGCAATAACCTATCATCCTCAGCCAGTCTTAAGCTTTTTGCCGATGACAGCCTTTTATTCATGACAGTCGAAAGCAAGCAAGATGCATTAACACTACAGGAGAATCTTGATAAACTGGTCTCCTGGGCATCAACATGGCAAATGAAATTTCATCCATCAAAATGCTATGTGCTAAATATTCACAAAGGTAAATCCCCTATCATGCACAATTACACCATGCTAGGGGAAAACCTTAAGTCGGTAACACACATCCCATACCTAGGAATTGATATCACAAATAACTTACGCTGGACTACACATATTCAAACTATTGTATCCAAAGCCAATAAGGTGCTTGGATTTCTCAGGCGCAACCTCCATCAATGCCCTGAAAAAGTGAAGGCTCAGGCGTATAAGTCACTAGTCCGGCCTAATTTAGAGTATGCCAGCTCGGCATGGGATCCATACCGACAAAAAGATATTGATATGTTGGAACAGGTACAGAGAAGAGCAGCCAGGTTTGTAACCAAATGTCACTCAAGGGAACCAGGCTGCGTCACCAAAGCTCTTCAAGACCTACAGTGGGAGCCACTGAAGGAGCGTCGAGAGGCTGCTAGAGTTTTCCTTTTCTACAAAGGAAAGCAGAACCTAGCAGCCATCGACGTGCCTCCATACTTCCGCCAACAGATCAATACCAACACTAGGTCGTATCATCCTTCTAAGTTCATACAACCATCAGCTAGAACGGATGCATACAAATTTAGCTATTTCCCTAGGACAATAGCTAAATGGAACACTCTACCTGGTGACATCTTAGACTGTGACAGTCTAAGTAGTTTTAAATCATCATACTATGCCTATGTCAATAACTGCAATTAAATAGGTGTGTTTTTAATATAGATCTATGTTTTAATGTAAAGGGTCCCCAGTGCACAGCAACAAGCCTGCACTACTGGCAAAAGGGGGTGATGTCAACGCGGTAGCCTGACAGTCTCCCCAGGTAAAATGAGTTGTAAACCATAGATCTATTTTTAAATGTTAAGGTTTTAAATTATATTCTATTCAAATTCTATCACTGTTAAATTATATATCTGCTTTATATGGGCTTATTAGCCTTTTGCAGATTATTGACATAGACATAGACAACTGAACAGTTTTTTGGCTTTTGTTAATTTTTTGCACATATTTCATTCGTTTCGTTATTCGGTGCAAATATGATATTTCCATAAACGTGACAAATGCTATACTTACACTGTCTGTTCTGCAACACACCCGATGATGCTGGTGCCACATATTTAGGCGTGGACACAAGACAACGACCGAGAAATTGAGAAATCTTCAGAGTACAAGCCATCTTCCCAAAATGCTTCGAAGGAGAGAGTTATGGTGTAAAATGGACTGACCTTATCAAATGTGAGGTGGGTTGAAAATAAATCAGGATTTTATATGATTGATCAATTATGATGGACTGCTTTGATTGAATATCTATATTTCTATATTTCAAATCAATATTTTTACAAATTTGGCTGCCTATATTGGTTTAATTGATTTGATTTTAAAAATTAATTAGGCTACCACCCCTATTAAGATAGACCTAACGCGCACCTGACCTGAGCACTGCGATCTGATTGGTTCAAAACTTGAACCGATGTTCCCCCTGGCAGCCATCTTACTGAGAAAACCGGTGGAATGGTCAGTCTATAAAAATCAATATTCTGCAAACCCTACAATTCTGTAAGTAGAATTTTGTTGGTATATCTTAAAACAACATGTCAGTGCATTCGTTGGCACCATTGTCTTAAAAATTTAGTGAAAGGATCACCAGTTATTTTAAGTCAAACGAGTGTGTCCTTGAGAATTTTAGTAATGATTTTAGACTCCTGACTTGGCTAGCCTAGTGTGTCTATTCACCATTCACAGTGAAACAGATGTTGCCTAGATTGCAGTTGTATGCAGTTATGTCATTTTTGTTGTGATATGTAGAACTGTCAGACTGCATGTGTTAGTTTCGATCATAGTGAGATTGCGTCTTCCATGCCAATGCAAGGCAGGGAAAATAAGATATGAATCTAAAATATGCACCATTTAGGCATTTGCATAGACTCTAGCCTATGCTAGGCTATAGCCTATTGCTTATTTTGCCTTTGGTAGGCTCTCAATATTATGTTATTGCAGGTCTGACAAAAAATTGTCAAGATGTATCGTATGCAGAGAGCTTCGAGTAGCTTGTTGAGCAATTTATATGTGCAGGCAACTGAGACAAACCTCCGTCCCAGCAGACTTTACCGAACAGGGAGAATCCTATTCCAGGAGGCTGCACCTGAGGCCACTGTCAAGGGGATACCATACAATAAACTAACAGTTGGTGTACCCAAGGAGATATTCCAGAATGAGCGACGTGTGGCCCTCACCCCACAAGCTGCTGCTGCTATGATTAAGAAAGGATGGAATGTCAATGTTGAAGAGGGAGCTGGTGCCGCTGCTAAATTCACCAGCGCTGACTATGAAGCAGCTGGTGCTAAAGTTGTTAAAACTGCTGAAGAGGCATACCAATCAGACCTTGTGTTCAAAATCAGAGCACCAACTTTAGAAGAGGTGAATCTGTTGAAACCGAAGAGTACACTTACAAGTTTCATATACCCAGCACAGAACCAGGAGCTTTTAGATGCTCTAGCCAAAAAGCAAGCAACAGTATTTGGTATGGAGTGTGTGCCACGTATCAGCAGAGCACAAGTGTTTGATGCTCTTAGTTCAATGGCAAACATATCTGGTTACAAGTCAGTCATCTTAGCAGCTAATAACTTTGGCAGGTTTTTCACAGGTAAGAAATCATTTAAGAGCAAGATATTATCAGACTCTTTGAAGTTTCTTATTCATATCTTCATTCTCACTCATCTGATGTCATAATAGATAATAAAAAATAGATCAAAGATGCAGTCTAATGACTCTAATGTTAAGTAACGACGGAATATCTAGTATTTTAATGCAATTAAGAGTTCCCTGAGACCTATCTATAGATTTTAAATTTATGTTCAGGTCAGATCACAGCAGCAGGTAAAGTTCCCCCAGCCAAGATGTTGGTGATTGGTGGAGGTGTAGCTGGTCTCGCCTGTGTAGGGACTGCCCGAAACATGGGAGCTATTGTGCGTGCTTTTGACACTAGGGCTGCAGTCAAAGAACAAGTAGAGTCACTTGGTGGAGAGTTCTTGGAAGTCAAAATAAAGGTATAAAATAACATTGATCCTGACTTGTCATTTGCAGGGCTCCTAATTGTTATAAATTTAATGAATGCTGTAAAAACAGAGGGTTAAAATAGAGTCCTAATGTAAAATAATGGTGATTTTTATAAAAGGTGGGTTTGTGGGTGGTACTTATCTAGAGTGACTGCATATGTTTGTTTTTTTTGTTATTGTTAAGATTAAACTGTGAGATTGACATTACCACAGCAAAATCTGTTTTAATAAGTGGTTAATTTCTATAGAAATGCATCTTTATTTTTGTTAAATTGTCAAACTTCATCATTTAGTGGGGTTAGGGTAGGACCCCTACTTTGATGTGGCATGACACCAATATGCCCTCAGTGACCCTGCCATTATGAAGATTGGGTTAGGGTTTCATTGCCACCATTTCTAATGTCCTAAATATTGATACCTGTATATTGTTGACTGAATGGTCTCTAATTGTGATGTTTCTTCACCAGGAATCTGGAGAGGGAGGTGGTGGTTATGCCAAAGAGATGTCTCCAGAGTTCATCGCAGCAGAGATGGAGCTGTTTGCCCAACAATGCAAGGATGTGGACATTGTCATCACTACTGCCCTCATCCCAGGAAAACCAGCCCCTAAACTTATCTCAAAGGTAAATGGTTATTAGAGCCTTATGTACAGTACAGTACCAAGCATGTTTTAGCATTCATTCATAGTTGTATTGTAGATAGTTATTTTTTACATTAACAGAGTATGAATTTCAACTTAAATTAAGAATGCTTCAACTAAGTTAAGCAATTGTTTAATGGTAACAGAAAGATACAAGGAAATGGACGTCAAACTTTTAAACAAATTTGAAATATACCACCATTCAATTCTGATATATTCTGATGAGGAACACAAGTTATGACAACATACAAAAAAACTATATCAATAGAAAAAACTTGTAAAGCATATGAACAATGAAGATCCTTTAATTTGGCACTCTGGTAACTGTAAACAACCTTTTTAGGAATCCAAAACTAGACCTCCTAAAGTCAGAAAAATGAAACCAAAGAATGAGTTTATCCATTGAGATATCAATCTGTTATTACAAAACTTGATAACAAAATACTTTAATTCAGCAAATGATTGAGAGCATGAAGCCCGGGTCTGTTGTGGTAGATCTAGCTGCAGAGGCAGGAGGTAATATAGAGACTACAAAGCCTGGAGAACTGTATGTCTACAATGATGTCACTCATATAGGCTACAGTGACCTGCCTAGTAGACTGCCCACACAATCCAGTTCCCTTTATGCCAATAATATCTCAAAACTCATCATGTCATTCGGTAAGTGCCACAGGAGAAGCCTTATTCTTGTGAATGCCCTGGGCTATAATTTAAAAAAATGTGGTCTATCCTCACATGAAATCATTAAGATACAGTTAGGGCAAATAAAATTCCACTTAAAATATAAAAAACATATCCTTCAATAGCCTTTAGGGATGAATCGATTTGTCTTGTATCACTGTAGAATGTATTTGGAAATATAAGATACTTGACCGAGTGAGGATTTCTAACACACTGTTGAACTTTATTTTCAGGAGAAAAAGATCACTTCTATCTTGACATGGAGGATGAAGTGTGCAGAGGGTCAATCATTCTTAAAGAGGTAAGACCACAAGGCATAGACACCTAAGATACAAGAGAATGGCTGTTTTGCGCTTGCTTTTCAGAAAGTATATTAAGAACCTAGCATAGTATGCAGGCATCGATCTGTAATTGCTTGAATATTTAAATCAATAGAGAGTGAAAGATAGGATTGTGTTTTGTATTCGTACACCATTTTTAATTTTGTATCAAATCACCCCTCCTTATAAAGGGGATCATGATTTCTTCATTATCAATTTATTTGCCTTACAGGGTGAGATGATGTGGCCGCCACCGAAAGTAGAGCCATCTCCAGTGGCAGTAGCTAAGGCTGCTGAGGCAGCTGTTGAAAAACCTCCCCCTCCTCCCCCTAATTATTTCAAAGAATACCTGACTGACTCTGGTGTCTATACAGCCGGTCTTGCTGGAATGGTCGGTAAGATAACTTAAGCATCTAAATCAGTGTTATCAAAGATCATAATTGTTTAGAAAAATACTTATTCTAAGATTTATCTATGTGAGGGATCTAAGATCCTCATTTCATTGTAAAATCCTTTTTTCAACTTGTTCAAAACCTTAGTTTGCTAGAACTCATGCCTAAAATTTGAAGTTCGATGTTGGCTGCATTATTCTGAGTGAGTATTTTGAAGTATTTGAATAACTTAGGCCCATAACTTTGAAAATTCCCAACCTGTGATTTTCATGTTTTTTGATGTACACAGGCAGATATATTGTAAATACATGAGCTAAAGGTATATTATCACATCTTGCTACTGATTCCAGGACTTGGTATTGCTGCCCCAAATGCTGCTTTCGCAACAATGTTAACAACCTTTGGACTGTCAGGAATCGTTGGTAAGACACAGGCTTTAATTATTACTTGGTCAATATCATAGATGGTGAAAAATCATGAAAACAGCTTTGAAGTAGGTTAGACTTTAGTCTACTATGTCGTGAATTTGCTCCCAACTTATGCCATATGTAAATCATGATCATGATTTGTGATATTAACAGGCTGTCTACTGATGTAATCCCTTATTTTAGCTACCACATTTCCTTACACAAAATATCATTGCAGGTTACCACACTGTATGGGGAGTCACCCCAGCCCTCCATTCTCCACTTATGTCAGTGACCAATGCTATATCTGGTATAACCGCTGTTGGAGGCCTCATGTTGATGGGAGGGGGATATGCACCAAGCAACACAGCTGAGATACTGGCAACTACTGCAGCATTCATATCATCAATTAATATCTGTGGCGGTTTTGTTGTCACTCAAAGAATGTTGGATATGTTCAAGAGACCTGGTGAGTTAAATAAATCATGACGTGTTGATTCACTTTTGCTTTGAGTTAAAGCATATTTTTTAACATTCAGAGGTACATTATGTAATGTTCAAGATGCATTTCTGTCAAATTAAAAGAAATCATCCCTGGTATATATAATTTAGGGTCTCTAGATGGATCCCTGGAGTTTTCATAAATGAATTATAGATACACCTGAAAGTTTTTGAACAGCAGACCCCACCAGCCTATCTTCAGTACCTTTTTCCACATACAATATCTAACTATAAATACAGATGTCAGGAGTGCTTGAGTAGGGATATAGAGTATCCTTTCATTCACCTGTTTGTCAAATCATTTGCCCAGGTGTCCACTCAGGCATAGCACATCTGCTTAAGAAGGAACTTTTGAACTCGAGAAGGAATTTTTAGTATATCGTCACATCATGTGTGTAGGGGAGTGGTTTGATAAAATATGTTTTTCAGTGAGATTTGCAACAATTTAAAGGTCAAAATGTTCACAAGATATAACTATGTGCTTCAGATGACCCCCCAGAGTACAACAAACTCTACATGTTGCCTGGTGCAGTATTCCTCGGAGGATACGGTTACGCTCAACAGTTTGATTACCCAGATCTCCACCAGGTGGCATACCTGTCAGCAGGATTATGCTGCGTTGGTGCCCTCTCTGGGTTGTCATCACAGAAATCTGCCAGAGTTGGTAAGATAATGATTTGTCAACGTACATTTGGTTATTATGTCACCACCAGGAATGTCAACATATTGTCATAGTCTACAATTTGTTTTTGGGTGGTGTTCGTCTATTGGTGTTCAGCATCTGTAACAAATGGCAGCTGTGACATTTTGCATGTTTATGCCCTGTGTTCTATTTATATTGAACTAATATACCTCAAACATTTCCCATAATGAAGTTGTGCTAACACTTAGACAAGAATAGTGTCATTCCTCAGAATATTTCCTCAGCTGGGTGCAAAATTTTAAAAATTTCAGAATTTTCATTATGTTACAAATCAGATTCTCAACTGGGTTCTATTGTATTTCCAACTGAGTGTGGGATGATTTCAAAAACTCAACTGAGTGCAGTGCCCAATTGCCTCATTGCTAGATGAATATCACTAATGAGTATATGTAACATTTGCAGGTAATGCCCTAGGAATGATAGGTGTAGGTTCAGGTGTTGCAGTTACTCTAGGCATGTTGAAGCCAACTCCAGAGCTTCTGGCACAGATGGGAATGGCCATGGGAGCAGGTAAGGTGTTACCTTATTTTGAAATTAACATAGCAAGAGAGGGGTCCTCTCAGAATATATACAGTTAAACCTTTGCATATTAAAGACTCTATTGACTAATATTGATCCTTGTAGATAGGTGTTCTTTACAAAGAGATTTTCTTAACAGGAAAGTCATAGAGAGACTTGTTTTGTTCTATGTAGATATATGTTCCTTTTAGAGAGGTGTTACATTGAGGATTTGCTGTACTCTATTTATTTGACTAAATGGACCTAACTAGCCTCTTAATTGAATCTTGTCAAGTCCTTTAATAAGACTCCATCAATGGATTGGGTGAGCTATGCTGTATTCAATTAATCCAATTGAAATATGATTAACATTGTATGTCTTGGCATGATGTTTCAGGTGGTCTTATTGGTGCTGTTATGGCCAAACGCATGGAGGTCACTGATCTTCCACAGATGGTTGCCTTGTTCCACAGTCTGGTAGGAGCAGCTGCTGTGATCACTTGTGTCGCTAACTTCATGGTTGAGTACCCCCACATGGCAGACAACCCTGCTGCTGGCATGCTTAAGACTGTCATGTTCCTGGGGACATACATTGGTGGAGTTACATTCACTGGCTCTCTCATTGCCTTTGGAAAACTACAAGGTCTGTACATATCCTTATTGTGTAATATCTATGTATTTTCATGATATCTTTAGTTCATTACTTTTTGAGATGACACGATTTCATTAAGATTTTAGATCATGAATTTATTTAATTTACTTTGATATTTTTTCTCAGAGAAGTATTTTTGAATTTGACCAGAAAATGTTGATTTAAAGCATTGTTCAACCTACACAAGTGTGTACCAGTACTCTAATTTAGCATCCATGTACTTCCTAAATATTATAATGGATTTTGGTTGGTCAGTGTTTGTTTTAATGTCTGCCAATGTTCTATAGATCAATAGACAACATTTTAACCGTTTCCTATGTTATTTCAGGAACTCTGGACTCAGCCCCTCTTTTACTTCCTGGTCGCCATGCTCTCAATCTGGGCCTGCTTGCTGGTAATGTTGGCGCAATGGGTTACTTCATGACCACCCAGGACTATAATGCTGGCATGGCTATGTTGGGAACAACCACTGCATTGTCCAGTGTAATGGGAGTCACTCTTACAGCAGCCATTGGAGGTATATTTCACTTTTATTTTAAGAATAAAGGTTAAAATTCCAGATTAGCTGGTATGCACCAGATTGTCTCATGTCAACAGTTAGCTCATGATTCTCAACATTTATTTTTCATATTAAAAACAATGTCAAAAAACTGTAATTCGTGCATCGCGTACAGATATTCTATATTCATATTCTATATACTGATATACTGCATATATTCAAATGCGTGAAATTAGTTTGTTTCATCTCACAACTATTTTTGGGGAGAATGAACTTTAAATATGCAAAATCACAAATTCAGTACAATGTTAATGTACTATAATAAATGTACATATCTTTTTATTATAAGGTGCTGACATGCCTGTAGTTATCACAGTACTGAACAGTTACTCAGGATGGGCCCTCTGTGCTGAAGGTTTCATGTTGAACAACAGTCTGATGACCATAGTAGGAGCTCTCATTGGCTCTTCTGGAGCTATCCTGTCTTACATCATGTGTAAGGTAGGACATGTACAATGTTTTTATTATAAGATTAAGATGTGAAGTTGTGTGGGAACTATGAATAGTAGAACTCTGAATGTACATAAATAATGAAATAAGTCAGTTTAGGAATCATCCTAGTTTTTGTGGATGATTAGCAAACATGTAAGGAAGGCCATTGAACTTGTTAAAAGTTATTCTTAGAACCTCTGTTGAAAAGTACATATTACTTGAAATTGATTTTAATCTAAAAATAAAAACCTGAACCCTTTATTAAAATTGTAAGATGCATTTTTTTGTTTTGTTTTTCAGGCTATGAACAGATCTTTACCTAATGTTATTCTTGGTGGATTTGGTACTTCAAGCACAGGTGGTGGTAAAGCTATGGAGATTGTTGGTGAGGCCACAAGAGTTGATACCACTCAAGTCATAGACTATATCAAGGATGCTAAGAACATTATCATAACCCCTGGTTATGGTCTATGTGTTGCTAAGGCTCAGTACCCTATTGCTGAGATGGTGAAAATTTTGAGAGAGAAGGCAAATAAGAATGTCCGATTTGCAGTCCATCCAGTTGCAGGTAAAATGATGTCTCTAATACTCTATTGATTGAAATTATGAGTAATATCTTTTAATATATAAAGAAAAACGATGTACCTTAGTATTCTGTTTCAGTTAAGTTAATTAAAGTCCCAGCTTCAGTGCTATTCATTTTGGGACACCCTGTATTTTATTAGATTATTAAAATTACAAGGATGTATGAATGGTTGCTTAGTATGATCCTGACAGTGACCTTCAGCAAATCCACTTCTATGTTCTCGTCTTTAAAACAACATGGTGAAAATTCAATTCTTCTCTCAGGATGCCCTTTCATTGATAAAACTTTCATTTTTTTCCAGGACGTATGCCTGGTCAGTTGAATGTGTTGCTGGCAGAAGCTGGGGTGCCATATGACATTGTACTAGAGATGGATGAGATAAATGATGATTTCCCCACTACAGATCTAGTATTAGTCATTGGAGCCAACGACACAGTGAATTCTGCAGCAGAAGATGACCCTAACTCTATCATTGCTGGCATGCCAGTGTTGAGAGTGTGGAACAGTGAACAGGTAAAGTATAACTTTTACACAGCATACCTTATACATAGCATACGTTATACACATTATACCATTATTATACCATTACCATTGAACATAATGAAGATAATGTTTCTGAAATTTAATTTCCCGAACCTGGTATAAATAAGGCAATAGGCAAATTAAATGATTAGGCAAAATTACCACTTATACAGTATACACAGTATACCTTATACACGGCATATTTTATACATAACATACCTAATACAAATTATACCTTATACATAGCATAATTATACACAATGTGCTCAGTCTAAAATGAAGACTTTTTGTGGTTAGTGTCTGTAACAAATGGCAGGTGATGACATTTTGCATGTTATGCCTTGTCTATGTTGATGTCATACATTTTATTTATAGCACCTTATTTTATATTCTCGTTCTATGTTTCCAGGTTATTGTAATGAAGAGAAGTTTGGGTGTAGGATATGCAGCTGTTGATAATCCAATATTCTTCAAAGAAAACACAGGAATGTACTTAGGAGATGCCAAGAAATCATGCGATGCACTTGTAGCCCAAGTCAAAGAATTATATGATTCATAACGAACATTTTAACTAGCCAAATTTTCCATGCATATTAGTGTACATTTAGTAGGTAATGCAACTTATTTAACTGGGCTTATACACAGTTTTGTCATCAGTGTTTTCCACTTGAAAAGAGACTTGATTTTGTAATAATGTTGAAGGCAGAATATCATTGACAAGTGCCTGTTACAATTGGGAATAATTTGCAGAATTATCTTAATTGGTTCATATCAACTGATGAATTTATTTTCATCAGATTCTAACATATGTGAATTAGAATCAGAATTTATTTTACATGTTTCCGGTGTTGGTAGGATAAGGATTTATTTTGATTCAATATATATGTAGATTCAGTCTATTATGGAAGAAATTAAGATCTATGAGATTCAGCTGTGAGATTCAAGTATTTTTATAGGAACTTAAGAGACCATTCTTAAAGTGATGGTATAAGTGACTGAACTTCCTTTCCTCACAAATGTGCATTTTTGAGCCATTTATTACTTTCCCTGTGATGCAAGCATTGTATTTCACTGTAGATGCAAGCATTGTATTTCACTGTAGATGCGAGCATTGTGTTCAATTGTTATGCAAGCATTGTATTTCACTGTTGATGCAAGCATTGTGTTCAATTGTAATGCAAGCATTGTATTTTACTGTAGATGCAAGCATTGTATTTCACTTTTGATGCAAGCATTGTGTTCCATTGTGGTGCAAGCATTGTGTTCCATTGTGGTGCAAGCATTGTGTTTAATGTTGAAGTGTTATTGTGCAAATTGTTTCCATTTCATACCCCAATTGACATGGATCGAAGTACTACTTGTATGTGCATTGCTGTCTCGGAGAGGGTACTTTATGCACAAAACGCACAAACTATTGCCAAAAATTATGATTCTCAATTGTAAGTAATTTGTTAATAGATCCATAGTACCAATCATGCTATATACTGTAATTGATGTAAAAAATAAGGTAATATTGATATTTTCATCATTTAAAGCCATTGAAAAATAAAATGTGTACTTCAGAATTAATTATTTTACATGATTTCATTACATTTTACATGAGGGAGTAAGATGTGTCTGTTTGTGATTGCATATTTAGTGATTAATGATATTGCAGATTTACAATGTAAATCCTTTTTAGACAAAAGGAAATAAATTATTTTAGGCTGATCTATCCTATTTTGGTATTTATGTTTTCTATGTAACAGTCTTGTTAAATCACATATTAGATCTTTGTAATGAACTACCCATTCGATTGGGTCATCAAGAGTTGCAGCAGCAGACCCCAAGGTCCTTAAAACGCAAAATACTTAGATTTTGATCTTGACCCCTAAACATTGACCTTGATCTCCTACATCATGGCGATGGCCCCATAATCTATCATACCATCATAATAAAGCTAATTTAATTGTGGACTTATTGGCATGATTGCTCATGGGAACATTTAAAGAGAGGAGTAGATATTTCACTCTACTATACCTTGCATTTGGTGTTCATGAGCAACTCATTTGGCTTATTAGTAATAATTATGTTATTTGTTTTTATTTGTCTGTTCCTTATTAATGGTTTATCAGTTGAAAATTAGATGTTAATAATTGTTATGCAAGCATTGTATTTCACTGTTGATGCAAGCATTGTGTTCAATTGTAATGCAAGCATTGTATTTTACTGTAGATGCAAGCATTGTATTTCACTTTTGATGCAAGCACTGTGTTCCATTGTGGTGCAAGCATTGTGTTCCATTGTGGTGCAAGCATTGTGTTCCATTGTGGTGCAAGCATTGTGTTCCATTGTGGTGCAAGCATTGTGTTCCATTGTGGTGCAAGCATTGTGTTTAATGTTGAAGTGTTATTGTGCAAATTGTTTCCATTTCATACCCCAATGGACATGGATCGAAGTACTACTTGTATGTGCATTGCTGTCTCGGAGAGGGTACTTTATGCACAAAACGCACAAACTATTGCCAAAAATTATGATTCTCAACTGTAAGTAATTTGTTAATAGATCCATAATACCAATCATGCTATATAATGTAATTGATGTAAAAAATAAATGATATTTTCATTGTTTAAAACCATTGAAAAATAAAACTTTTACTTCAGAATTAATTATTTTACATGATTTCATTACATTTTACATGAGGGAGTAAGATGTGTCTGTTTGTGATTGCATATTTAGTGATTAATGATATTGCAGATTTACAATGTAAATCCTTTTTAGACAAAAGGAAATAAATTATTTTAGGCTGATCTATCCTATTTTGAATTTTATGTTTTCTATATTTTGAATTTTATGTTTTCTATGTAACAGTCTCGTTGAATCACATATTAGATCTGCATTCTGCATAATCACGCCCGGTGATCTGACAAAATGAACGGAAGGGTGGGGGAAGAGTAGGTAATCTCTGCAAGAAAGTCTATCAAATATGGAAGATTTATTTTTTCAAGAGAAAGTTAACAACTCAATTGCTAAATGAATAAGCACAGTACATGGCAAAATATATAAGGTCTTCTATACTCCTCAAAAAAGTTACGGACCAGTGGTTTTCCTCATAGGTTTACATGTTAACCCCCATATTTGTTTGAACGACTATTTTCTAAGAGGGGAACAAAAGAAATCCCAATAAAGAAAATAAATCTGTATCTTGGTTCTATTCCCTATAAAGTCCGCAACATTTCAAGGTTATCTCCATTACATTGGATCAAAATTTGATGTCAAAATTGATGAATTTCATGAAATTTAACAAAAATGGCAGAGCCCATGTTAAACAAATGGGGAATGGTTGGGTTGCAATAAGTCATAGGAGGAACGATCCATCCATCCGATTGCTCTCAAAATTGAAATTGTAAGAGATAATTAAAGGATGAGTCTGGGAATGAGTCTGGGTATCGACTTAGAAAATATTGAAAATTGTAATGTCTGAAAAACCAACTCAATCACACATGTTATTAAACTTCAATATCTTATCCTTCTTCTGAGAGTAGAAAAATATCAATTTATATCACAATTAATGAAGAATATTGACATCAAAGACAGTGCATATCACTTTGTCAGAATTGAAAAAAAATCAATGGCAAATATTAAATGAATTATTTATGCAAAAGGTTTGAAACATATCCTCCAAAACATTGCTTACTTTCTTTGTATAGACATTGAATGGCATTTCTGGATAAGTGAATTGGTGTTTATCTGGGTAATCAAGGGATTATAGTCACTCAAAGTTACTGAGCATCCAGTTTTGAGACTTCAATTGTGTTGGTGAAGTTACACATATTTCAGTCAAATTCATGCTGAGCACAACATTCCGGTTTCAATTTTATAATCTCTATACATGACCCTGGTGATGAAGAGTCAGAATCAGTCAAAAAACCTAAACCGGAAAACTGTGCTCATTGTGAAAACTGAAAGTGAAGCAACTTTTTTTCTGATATTTCTTACATCAAATGGCAGCCGTCTTGTTTTTCCCCCTTCAAATTAAACTGGCGGGAAATTCAAAAATTTGGAAAAAATTTTAATCCTTAAATATATTTCAAAAATATGATTTTCTTTTAAATTCTTCACGGGTCTTAAGTTATTTCTTCTTTGTAAGTCATACATGTTGCCATTGATGTTTTTTTTCTATGATAATGACTATTTTTTTTTGTTAAGATACTTATTCTGACTCTCAGCAGGGGGTTAATTATGCATCAAAACTCGTGAAAAAGTAAATATGCTTATCAAATATAACTAGGACAGTAATAAAAAACATATTTAACATACATTTGACTGAGGGACCAAAAGGGCATATACCCGGACACATCCTTTGCTAAATTGTCTACTCGACAAAAATATGATTTAGTTGTACAGGCTTTACAAAAGTTAATTGTTTCAAATTCCATAATTTTTCAATGATCCTCTTATTGAAATAACACAGGTGGTTCATTGAGGTGGTCAAAATTACTTTAACACTCCATATCGCTAATTTTAACAACATAAGCGAGACATTTAGCATGTAAAATGTAAAATCACACATTTTTCTACTTAGAAAGTATTTTTAATAAATGTTTTACTGAATAGATATTCCAAAATCTGAGTTGCCCCTAAGCCACCATTCCCCATTTGTTTAACATGGGATCTGCCATTTTTGTTTTTCATGAGATTCATCAATTTTGACATCACATTTTGACCCAATGTAATAGAGATACAACATTGAAACGTTGCGGACTTTATAGGGAATAGAATCAAGATACAAGAGAGATTTCGCACATAAGTGAAAGCACAACTTATACGTATAGTTTAAAGGGTCATGTCGAACTATTATATTTACTAAAATCAATTTTAAATTGTACTTAATGGAACATAACTAATTCCGTTATAGAAAAGCTCCATCAACTAGAGACTATGAATGCACTGTCATCTGCACGTGTAGATTATGCACATTATAATTAAATGCTTGCTTCCGTGTCCTTGTAGTTGTAGTGTATTATAAACACGATCCTTTAAAGGGAGTCTTGATTCTTTAAAGTGAGTAATTACATAAACAAGTTGATTATTTTAATGTTTTCATGATCAGTATAAGTTCAATGAACTTACAAAACGGTATATTTACGTAGATGATAACGTATACAGTTGGATCTCGGTATAAAGATTTGCCTACATGTGTGTGGAACAATTGACCGCAAGCATTTTTTAAAATTAATTGGCTGAGTGGGAACAGTATCCAATCAAATACTTTAACCATCAATTTGAAACACCAATCAAACCAGTAGGTTCTAGCAAATCCTGGAAACGACCCATTCAGTAGCTTAACATATGACATACAGGGCGTTTCATAACGAGCATCTCCAAAAAGTCAATTTGAGAAGAGATGGGTCTATAATATATGTACTATATATGAGCCTATTTTATTCTAGACAAACACATTTGGATCAACTAAACATGCTACAATTCAAACAAGTACAAATGGTATCCCTTTGACCTGTATTTATTACAGTCCGAGAAGATCTTTCCTGACGAAAAGCTCACATTATGAAACACCTTGTACGTTTACCTATAAGTATAAGTTTACGTTATAAGTTGTACTTTCACTAGGTGCGAAATCTCTCTACAGATTTATTTTTACTTTATTGGGATTTCTTTTGTTCCCCGCTTAAAAAATAGTAGTTCAAACAAATATGGGGGTAAACATGTAAACCTATGACATACGAGGAAAACCACTGGTCCTTAACTTTTTTTGAGGAGTATAGTATTTTTTGGACTGAAACGTACCATCACTAACATGCAAAGGGCGATGTTTTAGCTATAAATCGGGCAACAATAGTCTACCCGACCTGTAATATAGGTATAACGGACGTTCCAGATTTATTGAATTTTCTTGCAGAATTGCCTACTCCCCACCCTCCGTTCATTTTGTACGATCACCTGGCCTGATAACAAACACATAAACCCATAAATCAATTTATAATCTGTTCAGAATGTTATCTGGGGCTAATTCTGATCTGGTTCTGTACCATGATGTCATGATCTCAACGACTTGAATGGATTTTGAGAAATGTTCCCCAAGATCGTTGAAATATTAGTACTCCATTCCATTTTATCATATTATAGTATTGTAGATTTCATTATGCCTTATATAAGTACTGATCTACATCTTTGCACTGTAGCAATCCACTGTCTATGCATCTAATATTTAACTACAACCGCCTTTTGAGTTCTGAAGAGATGACCTAATATTGTACAAATCTTAATATGTAAAGGAGGAACAAATAATTCAATTTCTAAGTCTTATCTATTTTGAAATTAATTTTGAACAGTGGTACACATTAATATTAGTACAGTATTTTAATCATAAACGATCATCTTCATTGGGAGTGTCACTTTATAACGTCTCGTCTTTTAGCAGCTTCCCTGTTTCATCACTGTCAGTTGCTGTCCACCCGCCTGTCTTGATCTGCATGCAGCTATGCTCAGTTCACATGAGTTGGCTGCATTAAAAATTAAAATAGCATAATTACAATTAGATAAGTAACCCTGATGGGGTTCCATGGAGTTCAAAAGGCGTCAGTTGGAAGTTCTAAATGCACATTTATAATATTGTACGCTAGGTGTATGTATTTGATCCACTGATGAAAATATTTCATTATGTCTCTTATTTTTTAAGGCTGTTATTTTAGTTAACCTAAAAAAGTTAAATCTCGTGTACCCTCAAAATGTCATTAATTCATGTTACAGGTGTAAAAGGGTAGGTGGTCCTATCAAATTTTGGTCCTACTCTCTATTGATTTATATGGTGACCTAATTACAATTATTTTCCTTATTATTTATACACAGTCAGGGCCAGTAAGGCCCGTAAGGAAAGGGGACCATAATCCCCAGGGGACCATAATTTCTTTTACACCGGCTTTATAACTCATGATAATTAAAGGGGAAACAGACATTAATATTTTACATATCTCGGTAGGGTTAAACCATATCTTACAGTATGTTCTGCTATTGCTACCACAAACAGGTCTGTAGATTCTTGGGCAGGCTCGCATGCACGTATTTGCCATATTCTCCTCTGGTTTCTTCACTGCGCATCTACCTTCACTCGCCATGGTCAGAACTTGTCCGTTCCTTCTAGCCATACATGCGGCATTTCTCAGCATACAGTCGTTACCTTTTTAAAAATGAAAACCAGAAAAGTGATGTATGTATGTATGTATGTATGAAAAATACGGATGAGAAATGAAGTGAGAAATCATGTATAAGACGGTACTAACACACAAAATAAACAAATAGTATTTTCATTTTGTATTTTATCTAATGGGAAGAATGAATATGATCTCTTTTTGTTGCGTGGGTCTCTTGACTTTTACTTTGCCTGGGTACTCCATCGGACTGACTCATGTGTATATTGGGCTAAAAAATGTCACAAATGTGGAAATATCATTCAATGGCAATTTTGAATAAGTATAACGTAACGACTAACCGAAAGTTCTTCCATCGCTTGCACACACAGGTCTCAACATCTTATTGCATGGTTTGCGGCAAGTATCCACGGGCGCCTTACATCTGCCATTGTTTACTTTGGTAAGGGCTGGTCCTCCGCGTTCCATATTCTCACATTGAGCAATTTCAAGTTCACAATCATTTCCTAAAAACAAGCAAAATGTACACCTGTATGTTATAATAAAAACATTACAATAGTCGCTCAAATGCGTTATGAATTGACCATGGCGTTTCATATTTAAGCTCGTATTCGCGTATGCAACTTTCGACTGTCGGCTACCAGCAGATTAACCTACTATTTTATGATCAACTCATTTAAATATGAATGGAATAGTGGGAGTCCTTATGGGTGGCGAACGTATCGCTTTGATAATACGTACCAAATGTTTTTCCATTGCTACCACACACGGGTGCGTAGATTCCTGGGCACACTCCGTTGCAAACCTCAACGTTCTTCTCTGAGCATTTTCCCTTATTCACGATGGTCAATGTTTCTTTTTTGCCGGCAGCTTCGACCTCACACTTTGCAATTGCGAAGCGACATTTGTTGCTGTATGTTCTTTTATCACTCGCACATACTGGATCATAAACTGCTGGACACATGCGTCCGTCACATCGGCCATTATCTTGGGCAGAGACGATGACAGCAATGGCTAAAAGTAAGCAAGTTAATGAGATCAAGAAAATGGTTGTGGCTATTCATACGATAATAAATGTATAAGTATCACCTATAATCACACTATTGATAGCAACTTTCACGACACGTAAGGGCCAAATAGATAAGCTTGCCTCCCCGATCTTGGACAAATGTAACATAACTGCATAAGGTGCTTGCCGGTAGAAATGATAAATTGACACAACCGGATTCGTATCACTTCTTTTTGCAAATCAACTGCTGCACGTGATCGAGTTTTTTTACATCTATACAGTTAAATCGTGTGACTGTTTCCTCAAAATTCACAATGATAAATGAGTATTATTCTCATATTAATACTATTTTGTATATATGATATTCTTGACGATAGTTATGTAAAACCCTATAAAGAAATTTCATTTCAATTCCAAATTAATTCAACCGATATTATTGAAAGAGCGGCTGTCTTCATGATTACACATATGTGAAGTTATTTTTTGGCGTTGTACTCACCCAACTGCACTACTATTGATGTTAGAAGTACCATCTTTATCTGTTGAGGTCCAAGTCTTGACTAGACACTGTGGCCTGAAGTCGTTCCTTTATTGACCATGAATTAACGACAACGTATCTGAGATAAGATAGTCATTGAAATGGTATTTTCATTGCTGATTATAGATACACAGATGGTTATGATAATGCCAATGTTGAGCCAAACAGACCCTTTGAATAAAGAGGGTCGATTATTTATAAAGAGGGACTTTCGCCTTTTATTTTGCCTTATTTAGTCGCCACAACAGTGACCTTGTTGGCATGTCCCCCTTGGGTGGGCCTAGAATTTTTACTTGGCCAAATGATCAAAAACGAAATTTTCAAAATTTTGGGCCAAAAACTGAGCTGTTCAGTACCATGATTCAAAAGAAAAGTGGTCCGTGGCTGGAGGACGTTTAATAAGTTATATTATCATCAAGATCTGGAACAAACGCAAAAATACAACCTTTACAGCCGCCATTTTTGGAACGGAAACTTTAGTCATCGGTCGCGATTTCCCCACTGTGTTCATGAGTGACATAACATAATAATTTTCCAGGGTAAATCCCTAAGTATTATTCACAACAGACTATTGTGCACGATTCAAAAAGCATGATTCAAAAAGTGCCACTTATACAGGATGTTCCAAAAGTAACAGGACTGGTGCTGGCATTTTGTCAATTTTGCACCGAGTGTCTTCAAATTTTCACAAATTGTACTCTGAAGTATTGCAACTAAAATTGTAAAGTTTCAGAAAAAATGATGAAATGCGATTAGAGTTATGGCTACTATAGTAATATGACATTCCAATATCCGGGGCAACTTTTTTCCTAAAAATGTGATATCTAACATTTTTGTATTACTGAAGAAAGTATCTAATTCACCTATTATAATACAACATTTCTTGTTTATTTTATTAGTTGCTTTCTTGTAAAGATGTTTTTATACAACTCAGATTCAAGTATAATTTCATAATGATAATAATATTTGTTCAACTTCCTTGAATATCACCATGGATAACAACTTCTGATCATGAACAATATTTACGGTTGAGTTTTTAAAGACCCAATTTGAAGCCAGTCATCCAACTTGATAGTGAGCCTGCCCGCATGTCACCATTAAAGACCATGCAGCTAAAGAGGAGCTCTAGGTCTTGAGGTCTAAAACCATGCACCATACTCTTCTGATCAGGCAATATCTACTTTTTACTTATATTGAGAACAGAATGCTAATCAGTGCTGTCAGACCTTTAAAGATGAGAAAGACCTTCTCCAAATTCTCCAATCAACCCTGCGTGACATGTCCTCAAATGGGTTCATTCATGTTTTTGGGTCATGGATACATAGTAGCCTACTACTCTTGTACCGACCAGAGGAGCCTATTTCTAAAAGTAGAGGATACATAGGAATATCAAATGATGTAAAACAGTTGAACCAGTTATTGCATTGAATCAATTTTGATATGGCATGTACAAAATGATATGGGATGTACAAAATGCTTAATGTCTCGGTAACATTTCGCGAGGAATGTTGCCCCGGGTATTGCGATGTCATGTTACTGTAGCAACCATAACTCTTCCCGAGTTTCATATATTTTGTCGAAACTTTGTCTTAGTAACGATACTTTGAAGACGATTGGTGCATATTTAACAAAATGCCAACACCAGTCTTTGTGTGCTAAGGTGAATGGTGTTAAAAGGGAGTAAAGCTAAGGGTTGAAGAAGTTGAAGAATAATTGAAGAGTCTGAAGACTGATGGGCCAGGCACTCGATGGGGCTTTACCATAGTTACCTTGATAGGGGGAAATGAATAAAATGAAGCATTGAAGAATTTGAAGACTGTTGGCCCAGGCCCTCGATGGGACTTTGGTATAATTACATTGATAGGGGGAAATGAAGAAATCTAAACTAATTGCTTAACAAGGCACAGACGTGAACAATATCGTACCTAAAACACAGCATTGTGGTCTTGTTGACCAAGAAAGCAAGATGGCCGCAGAAAAGTTAATCAGCTCTAGAACTTATCACTGTGTATCATATGTAAAAATTTGAACGGTTTGGCTGGAAACCTGTAGACAAGTCTTGAAAGTGAAGATTTTAGGACGGAAAATCCAAAATGGCCACCTTAAGGTCAGGGTGCATGATGGGAAATTTTCTGCATCCTTCAATTGAGTCACATGTTATTTTTCAAACAAGAATCACTCCTTCCCCACATTGTCTACACCTTCCAAGTTTGCACAAAGAGTGCACTTATGTGCCTAGAAAAGACTTGTGAGAAGAATGTTTTGATAAAGTGTATAAAAAACAAGAAAATTCAGTGAAAAAATTTAGAAAATGTTCAGAATTTTTTTTCACTGAATTTTCTCGTTTTTGATATATTTTACAAAACAAATCTTCTCACAAGTCTTTTCTAGGCACAAAGATGCACTCTTTGTGCGAACCTGGAAGATATGAACAATGTGGGGAAGGAGTGATTCTTGTTTGAAAAATAACATGTGACTCAATTGAGGGATGCAGAAAATTTCCCATCATGCACCCTGACCTTAAGATTTACACAGAATGCCCAAAAACTAATCAGTTCTTGACGTTGATATGTAGAAACATCCCTGAAAATTTCAGATGAATCCCTCAAATGGTTTGGCTGGAAACCTGTAGACAAGTCTTGAAAGTGAAGATTTTAGGACGGAAAATCCAAAATGGCCTCCTTAAGGTGCTATGGAACTTACAGGAAATGACAAAACAGGAAGTGACAATTTTTTTTGCATTTTTAGACATTTTTTGAACAAAGATAACAGAGTTCTGTTTTGACCTCCAGTCAATTCAACTAGTTCAAAATACCATTTACAGGTCCAGGATCACAATGTTCATGGTCAGAATGACCCTAAACATGATGAAATAACGTTTTCAGCCCTATGGAAATGTGACTGAAAAATAGCTAAAAGTAGGAGGGTAGGAAAGGTCACTGAACAGAATCTTTTGAATTTTTCAGAAAATGTGCCCAATATATTGCTCTAAATGAAACAATCTTTGAAAATTTGATATCATTCATAGAAAAAGAAAAAAAATGAAAAAACTGATTTTAAAAGCGATTTATTTTCATTTTTATGACTGTCATTTTTGTTTAAGACAATTTTCTAAAATTTCAAAGATTGTATCAGTTGGAGCATTATATTGGGCACATTTTCTGAAAAGTTCAAAAGATTCTGTTCAGTGACCTTCCCTAGCTCCTACTTTTAGCTTTTTTTCAGTCACACTTTCAAAGGGCTAAAAAGGTTATTTCATCATGTTTAGGGTCATTCTGACCCTGCACATTGTGATCCTGGACCTGTAAATGGTATTTGGAACTAGTTGAATCGACTGGAGGTCAAAACACAACTATGTTATCTTTGTTCAAAAAATGTCTAAAAATGCCCAAAAAATTGTCACTTCCTGTTTTGTCATTTCCTGTTAAGTTCCATAGCACCTTAAGATTTACCCAGAATGCCCAAAAACTAATCAGTTCTTGACGTTGATATGTAGAAACATCCCTGAAAATTTCAGATGAATCCCTCAAATGGTTTGGCTGGAAACCTGTAGACAAGCTGAAAAGTGAGACGCCGCCCGCCCGCCCACCCGCCCGCCCGCCGCCCGTCAAGCTGACTACAATATCGTACCTTTTGTTAGGTACGATAAAAAGCAAAGTAAATGGCTGTGACTGAATTAATTAACACTCGTAACACCTTAACACACATAATAAGAAGAAAATTAAAGTATTGAAGGCAATTTATCAATTGTCCTAACAGACAATCTATCCATGCCGTGACCTTGGCTATGAAAGTAAGAAAAACACCCTACCTTGTCAGGAAAACCCCAGCAACACTGCTCGGAGCTGAGTAAAAACCTGATATTTATATGAAAAGTTGAATAACAAAGCTCACAAAAGTAATGTTTAAACAACCAATGAACAGCCAGCAATGCTGGCCGCATAAATAGATTTCAATAGACACACTTGAAGTCATATACACATAAATACATGTTGCTGTTCGATTTAAGCAAAGAGAGTAAGGTGGAGCTTGATGAACGTAAACAGCAGTTATTGAAATAGAATGGGGGTTTGTTACACTTTGTATATTTTGACCGGACGGCATGACATCTATAGATGAAATCGAATTCTGAATGCAATCTATCTGTCAAGTTTTTAGACAAACTACACTCTCTCTCTCTCTGGCATTTACCGTCATTCACAATCCCTTTTCAAAGAACTGTTACTATACCAGGAGGATATCCGGCCGGGAGAAGATAACTGGCCGACCAGAAAGGGCTGTCTATTAGAGCCCCTTAGTCTATATATAGGAGTACATGGACTTCTATATACTGTACATAACATGTTGTTATAGTTTATCACTGCCTAGGTCATTTTGACCTGTGGCTGACAAAGGCACTCACTGTACCTTTCCATTTAAAGTAGTGGGGTGCAATATTATATTTGAGGGGTCAGTCTCAAAATCATCTTTTTAATTAAA